TCATCCAGGCTGGAGTGCAATGGTGTGATCTCAGCTCACTGCAGCCTTAACCTCCTAGGCTCAAGACATTCTCCCACCTCAGTCCCCCAAGTAGCTGGCACTACAGGCATGTGCTACCATACCCAGCTAACTTTTTTGTATACTTTGGTAAAGACAGAATTTCGCCATGTTGCCCAGGCTGGAAAAATTAACATTAAACCCAACACTTTAGGAGGCTGCGGCGGGTGGATCACTTGAGGTCAGGAGTTCAAGACCAGCCTGGCCAACATGGTGAAATCCCATCGCTACTAAAAATACAAAATTAGCTAGGTGTGGTGGCATATGCCTGTAATCCCAGCTACTGGAGGCTGAGGCAGGAGAATCACTTGAACCTGAGAGGCAGAGGTTGCAGTGAGCCAAGACTGCACCTCTGCACTTTAGCGTGGGTGACAGAGTGAGACTCTCAGACAAAAAAAAGTTAATGTTAAAAATTTAAAAAATATATATGCCCAAAGAATAACCCAATTTAATCTGCTGCTCCTTTTTGTATTTATAACTTTATGCAGGTACCTTTAAGAAATTTTTAATGCTTTAACTTTGTTTGATAGGCTTGTTCAGTTCAGACAAGACTGTTTTGACATTAGTACAACTAGAAAGTAATCACCATGAGCTATGAAGTCAACATGAATATTTTACTCATTACATGCTATGTAAGACTACAAAGATATGTGCCAACATGTTAACAATGATTACTTTTCAATATACAACTAATGGGACTTTAGACTCCCCTAAATGTTACTTTCCGCACTAAGCATATATTGCTATAATCAGAAAAAAAAAAAATGCCCTTTTAAAAAAAGATTGGATTTAAATAAAATAAAAATTTATAAAGAACATTTTTTTCTTAATACACAAATATTTTCTATAAATGTGAGATTAATATAAAATGAAGAAAGGCATTTCATATATAATCATTTTCCTTAGGATTCCACAAGTAATTTTATAGCAAAATTCCCATTATATTCATTTTAATACTATAACACCTTCTTTCCTTACATCTTATCTTATTCTTCTAGCATCAGTGTAATTCTATGCTTATTTTAAAAGCATAAGACAATTCTCAATATGTGATCCTTTCATAGGATTTTACATTAACCATGTATTTTAATTCTTTTAAAATCTTTAATCTCTAATTTTTTTTCTGGTTGTCTCCTCCTTTCAAACCATAATTCATAACACTTTAAAACTATCAGAGCATAATTCTTAACATTTTAGAACCTATCTTTTTATAGAAGATATATCCTTATAATAATGGCTTTAAATTTCTTTAAAATTAATAGTGTTTTTCACTGATTACCATTAAATACAGATACATTCCCATGGAAAATTCTCTTTTCATAGAAGCAAAGATTGTAAACCCTGGAACAACTTCAGGCAATTTTGTTTCAGGAATGAGCAGTATTCTCATTCTCACTACACTAGTAAAGTACTTAAGAAGCCTAGAAAAGGTGGGGTGCCATGGCTCACGTCTGTAATCTCAGTACCTTGGGAGGCCAAGGTGGGAGGACTGCTTAAGGCCAGAAGTTGAAGATAAGCATGGGTAACACAGCAAGACCCTGTCTCCACAAAAAAATAAAGTTACCCTGGCACGGTGCCATGTGCCTATAGTCGTAGCTACTCAAGAGGATCACTTTGAGCCCAGGAGTCCAGGGCCTCAGTGAGCTATGAACCAACATAGACAAAAGAGTGAGATCTCTCTTTTAAAAAAAGCCTAGAAACATCTGGTAGATTGTCCAGGTTACCTAGCTATTCAGTAATCAAAGAGAGTAAGAAAAGAAACAGGAAAAAGCCCTTCTTGTTTCTCATTGCAGTACTTGTCCTACTATAATTTACCCAAGTTTATAAATCTCTGAGAAAAATGAATGAGATGGTAGCTAATTCCACAGTATCCTGTGCGATTTTATGCCCAGAAATTGTTCCCAACATTGTTCCTTTGTTGCTATTTCCCAGATTATAGAGATTATAGAACTTTCTTCCATTTTTGTTAAAAGCAGCAAGGAACTCAGTAATAGACTCCACGTTGGCATCAGCTGTCTGTCAGCAGAGAAAATGAGATTCTTGTTGGAAGTTTGTGAAACTAATCAACTATATAATTGTAGCACTGAAAATGAGCTATCCTAATTTTCCATATTTGTGAGTAAATTCCTTTAATAAAAACTACACCAGTTAATGCTTGAATTCTGCAAAGTGCATCACAGTTCTACTTCTTCAATTCTGTAAAATAACATTTTAAAAGTAGGATTCTCTACAGTAAAATAAACCACATAAAAATAATGTCTAATAAATCTTAATAACATAAAGGGACAACATAGCATATCACTAGACTCTGAGTACTTCTAAAAAAAAAAAAAAGGCTTTGCAAAAGAAGTTTTTCATTTCACAACAATAATCAACTAGTAAGAAAACGACATATTGATATAAATTGTTATTAAGGACTATAAATGTGGTGCCCTGTACTATTCTCATGATTTTAAAGAGTACATACCAACAGTTTTTTGCCGTACTATACTCCTCGCCTTTTCGGTTCCTGGAGAACCAGTGGTTGTTGCACTCCTCTGTCTCATTGGGGCTTGGCCAGGCTGATCACGACTCCATCCTCTAGAAAATGACTTGTCAACTGAAACTTTCTGAAATTCATGTCCAACTCCTAAAAATGTAGATTTTTCAATCTCAATATACTGTTACTTGATCAATAATATCTTCAAGTTATGTGTGCTACCTTGCCTCAAATTCTTACGTTTCCTCACTAATAAATTATAAAGTAATAAGATAAAACGCTGCGTACTGTAAGGCTTTTAAGAGCTTCATTTTATGTATAAATCATATTCCAAAACAGATACAGAATTTTTAAATTAAACCTTTAGCAATAAACTGTTAAAAATTATCTGCCACCCACTTGTTTTGGAATAAAAATGAAACATATAGACAAGAAAAAAAGACAGAAAATGAGCTAACCAAACCCATGCCATGGTGATGGTTAAACCTAAATCTCTAACCTGTCAATAATAGCCACTTGAGAAATATAGTCCAGGAAAAAGTAGTTTGAGTATGTAATACCCTGGACAAAAAGTTAAGTATGAAATGTCACTTAAATGTAATCTCTAGCTAGCAACTAATTTTTAAGAATGCAAAATGCTGGCTGAGTGTAGTAGCTCACGCCTGTAATCCCAGCACTTTGGGAGGTGGCGATGGGCAGATTGTTTGAGTCCAGGAGTTCAAGACTAGCCTAGGCAATATGGTAAAACCATGTCTCTACAAGAAATACAAACAAAAAAATTTCACTGAGCATGGTGACATATGACTGTAGTCCCAGCTACTTGGGAAGCTGAGGCTGGGGGATGCCTTGAGCCTGGAAGGTAGCTGCTGCAGTGAGCCGTGATTACGCTACTATACTCTAGCCTAAGCAACAGAGTGTGGCCCTGTCTCAAAAAAAAAAAAAAAAAAAAAAAAAACTAACAAACTGAGGATTTTAAAAACATATATTAATGAGATAATCATTATACTACTGCCCCACCCCCTTTTAACATTAGACAGATAAATATTTCATGTCTAGGGAATGTTTGCTTTTAGTTAAAACTAAGTGCTTTCAAAAACAATTTTTAAAATAATTATTATATACATTTTAAATAGAGTAACATGAAACCACCTTCTCAGTTCTAACAAAAAACTGCTTACGATAAAAAGAACTAGTTTTTTTATACATTTTCATTTTGTTTAATTCTTAAAACTAAAATAGTTAAGATTCTAAATTACTTATTTCACCCTCACCCCTCTCCCTGGTATGGTTTTCTCTGACTCAATTATTTAAACAAATTCATATAGAGCCATCTCTATGAACAATTCTTACCTTTCCCTTTGTGCTTTTTTTGTTTCTGTTCACTCAGTTTATCCAACGGTAAATCACTGAGATCCAAACTATATAAATTCCTAGCTAAAACTTTAGTTAATGTCTCCATAGTCAGTGACCACTCAGTGGCCAACTCTTCCCAATAGGTCAATGATGACAATACTGACAGTAAGTCATCCCAGAGTTCTCGGGAGATGTATACATTTAGGTTTGCTTTGATCCAGGCAACTATAAGGGTCTATAAAGGCAAATATCAGAAATAACAATAAAATGTGTTTAGTTTGTGACTTCAAAATCACATATTTAATTCTTAAAAAATTACTTAAAACAAGCAAAATTCAGAATTGCATGCTTTTTTAAATAGATAATACTTGTAAAAGTAATCCATGCCATCATTAGAATCTATATAAATTTCATTTCAACAACTGCCAACTCCCAACACCCAGCAATCTAAACTAAAAAGAAATCTCCCTAAATTTATAGCTGTCTCTCATGCTGCATTACATTAATGTTAAATAAATGCTTTTTGAAAAATAGTCTCCATGCTTTTAAGTGTTGAAAATGTTGAGTTACTGAACTATAAAGCCAAAACCTACGTTCCCAAATTAAGGATGGAAATGACTACTACAACTCAAAAATGTTTTTGAATAATACAAGGAAACAACATGGCTGGGCGTGGTGACTCATGCCTGAAATCCCAGCACTTTGGGATCCCAAGGTGGACGGATCATGAGGTCACGAGTTCAAGCCTAGCCTTGCCAACATGGTGAAACCCTTTCTCTACTAAAAATACAAAAATTAGCTGGACATGGTGGTGCGTGCCTGTAATCCCAGCTACTCGGGAGGCTGAGGCACAAAAATTGCTTGAACCAGGACCCGAGAGGTGGAGGTTGCAGTGAGCCGAGATGACGCCACTGCACTCCAGCCTAGGCTACAGAGCAAGACTCTGTCTCAAAAAAAAAAAAAAAAAAATACTAGAGTAAAGGTTGAAATTAAATTTCATTTTAAAGACAACAGACAAAAGCATTATGTAATAAATCTGATCACAGGATTGAAAAAATTCATAAAAGTAGAAACTGATTAGCCAGTATCCCCTGAGATTTTGTGGATGTCTACTAAAGAAAGATATGTCCTCTGATTGAAAAAACAATCATAAAATAAAAAGATTCTCAAAAGCTTAATTCTACAATATTTAGAAAGGAATTCACACAAGTTTATACTTGAAATGTAAAGATGAAAATGAACAGAGTTGAGATACAGAATTGTAGTAACTAGTTACCTCCCAATCTATCTTTAATACTGACACTACAAAAAAAAAAGTTGTTCCACATAGCAAGATGAAATTTTATCTTCCTGTAGCTCCCACCATTGGGTTAGCTCTAAAAATGGGGAAATTTGAATGAAAAAAAAACAAAAAAAAAGGTTAATGAGGTTAAGAGGAGTTCAGATAATACATGTAGCTGGTTTTAAAGGACTGTTCAATACCAGCATATAATTTTAGGTAAATGGCTAATATATAAAAAAAAACTCCTATCAATTTAAATGGTTATACTCATGGCCAAGAATTAGATCTGAGACAGCTTTTACCTTTGACATTAAGAATCATGTGTTTGTATTTCATGTATCATCTTAAAAAATATTTTGTTTTCTATTTTTCAAAGAATCCACAATACATTTAAAGTCAGCACTCTATCCTCGGATTAAGAAAACACAATATGGAATTCCTGTGTAATCAAACTACCACCAGTTGAGAAGAGAGGATAATAGTCTTACTAAAAAAAAAAATCATGATAAGAATCAATCTTGATTATTTACTGCTTTTTCATTATTACAGAACAACATAAAAAGACAGTTTTTCCTAGTAGTCCTAGAGATATGGAAACTTATAAAGCAGTCAGGCCAACATTACCCTTAAAACACCACCAGCTTTTCGCAACCACACAAGTAAAATAAATATCATTAGCCTATTATAACACTTTGTTCACAGACCTGATATTAACTCCAGTCTTATACTAGGCTGTATGTACGGCAAATAGCTCACGTAGATGAGCAACTTTTAAGTTAGCTCTACAGAAGATCCCTTAATAAATAATATCTGATTTAAAACATTATTTTTCCCAGTAACAAGTTCAGGGTTCAAAGAATCTTAAAAAACAAACAAAAAACTTATCTATCCAGCTATTCATGTATTTATTTATTTTTATTGCCTGGAAAAGTGGTCCTGCAAGTCGACCTGCCAAGGTCATATTTTTTCTCCCTTGGAACTGTAGAAAAGCTTGTGATGGCATCTTCAGTACAGACTCCGTGACTCTGAGCAACACAAGCAGCATCTGTTCCCTTAAAATAAAAAGATTGATTAATGTTTCCTTCTTGCATCTGTTTGCATTTGATTAACAGTTAACTTTCAAATATATACTTTTCATAAAAACTCAAATATCAAACATCTTAGAAAGACAACTTCAAATTTTTAAGAGTTCCTTAAATATTAAAAATTAAAATTCCATTTTATAGATCTACATCAATCATTTAAAATCATTTACCAGCCACAATATCATCTCAGCAAATAAAAACCTATTCAAAAGCTGAGGAATTAGAAGTGATAATGTGGAGAATGCTCCCATCTCTCCAACCACAAATTAAGAAGCCATCTTAAGAAGCTGGTGAAGAACACTCATCTACCCAATATAGTTCTATCCAGATGGAATACGATTGAATCCATCTTTATAATATGGAGAATAACTATATAAAAAATCAATCAAATCCATCTTTATAATATGGAGAATATATATGCAGAATCATATCAAGCTGAATTTAAAAAATTACATGATGTCTTAAGAATCACAAAGAAGGCTGGGCAACATAGCAAGACCTATCTCTTAAAAAAAAAATTGGCTGGGTGTGGTGGCACATGCCTATAGTCTCAGGTATTCAGAAGGCGGAGGTGGGGGGATCAGTTGAGCCTAGGAGTTTTGAGTCTGCAGTGAGCTATAATCGCACCACTGCACTCCAGCCTGCGCGTCAGAACAAGACTCTGATTCCAAAAGAAAAAATGAGCTTGATAATTAATCAAGCGTCATTACTCTATTCTCTTTCCATTCTTTTCATTATGCCATTTTTTAATCTTTAAATTTTTTGTCTGTACTGCAAGTTAAGCCAATTCCATGATTATCCCTACTTTGCATCTTTCTCTTACATGCTTATTATTAAAACCATAAAGCTACCTTATTTGAACTGGTATTTCAAAACTTGATTCAACCACATATGAAAAAGACGCTAACAAGGGACTTTCAATTGGGTGTACAGCTATCAGCCCAATCCCCTATCACAGCCTCCTCTTCTCTGGTTATTTTGCAGGTCCATTCCAGGCATAGTGATATGTGGAACAGTCACTGTAAGAAATGTGGCAGGGGCAGCAACAGATCCCAGATCTAGATGTCATGGTTCTTCTGAGAAGCCAGAGTAGAATCAAACAGAAAACTATCACTACATTAAAAATATCCTGGATGTATTAGCAAACAAATGCATGCATTCATTCACAGAATAAAAATCAAAGGTGCCACTTTTGTAACCTTTATGCTTCTAGCTTAGCTACATGAACTAAAAAGCTATTCGATATCAACTACAAATGCAGTAAAGCACAGATTTTCCAAAAAATTTTTATTTGATTTGTTGTTAAAGCATAACTCACTCATAAATCATACAGTCTTTTCACTTTCTAACACAATAAAAATGGTTTTAATTAATAAAGTTTTACAAACTCTAGCCGGATGTGGTGGCTCATACCTGTAACCCCAGCACTTTGAGAGGCTAAAGTGGGAGAATCACTTCAGCCCAGGAGCTCGAGAACAGCCTGGGCAACATCGCGAAACTGTCTCTCTATATATAAAAATTCAATGTAAAATATAAGAAAAATCTCCCAAAATGCTATTACCTCAAGGGAAGTTAAAAAAACTAGGGAAAAATTCTAAAATTGTTTTTTACATAGCAAGTCTGTCAGTATAATCTGGCTCATCAATGATTAAAGGTATACAGAAAGAAAAAAAAGGACTAACAAAAGAATAGTCCAATGTAGTATAGTTACTAGCTAATAACTTGGGCTCTGAAGTCAGAAAACCATAGTCCAAATCTCTAATCACTGTTCAATGGCCACGAACAAGGACAGGTTACTTAACTTCCCAATGCCTAAGAATTATCCCATGTAAAACAGGGATATTATCTGTATCATAGGGTACTGTAAGAATTAAGTAAGAATATGTATGTGTAAAGTGCTTACAAAGCTACCTGGCACAAAGATGTGTACTAAGTATGTAAATAATTATAACTACCTCTACATGCAATTCTATTAATACTGTTAGTAAAGAATTTTTTCAAAATATAAAGCCATTTTATACATACACTAGGCATATGCTTTGACCAAGTAGTCTTATTTCTTAAAAAATTAGGAGTACTTAGTCAAAGCATATGCCTAATTTGCATTTTGCTACATGTACAGGAAAACAACATATATACATGAACGTTCATTGTCCTCTCTGCCCCAAAACAAAGAGAAATAACTACATATCCATCGGTAGAAGACCTGTTAAGAAAATTATGGTACATATATATGGTATAATACTATACAACTGTGTGCATGATTTGATGAGCTAGATATTCACCAAAGGATAAACATCACTACCATCTCCAGAAACTGAACCTCTGAGTTTTTTTCTTTTATAAACTTTTCTTTGTTTGAATTTTATGATAAACATTTCATTTTTACAAACACTACAGAACTGCTTTCCCGTCTCCCCAAAAGGTCTATTTTTCCAGTCAATTAAATAAATATTTATACAGCACCAACAATAGATAACATAATATACTAAGAAACGTGGTAAATATTAAAAAAAAAAAACAACAAAACCAGTATATACCGTGTAGGGGCTCTCAGTTCTATGGTAGTAAATGACATTTACACAAGTATTTAGTATATTTCACAAGAAATATACAGAAGTACAAATACAGAATGGAAACAAGTGAAGAAAAAACTTTAAGTATATGTAGAAACAGGAAGGTGAATCTAATGGACAGTTATGGTGACAACAGGAAAAATGGCAGAATTAGATGTTCTAAAGGAAAGTCAGAAGGTGCTCAGGGAAGAGCAACTTGATAAAGCTGGGAAGCAGGATCTTATCCTGGAAGCTGAAGGTTAGACTTCAGATAGGAAAAGTAGGCAGGGCCTGATTGTATACAGCTCTGAATGCCAGATGAAGGAATCAGGCATTCATATATTTAGTCAATCATTTACTTATTCATTCACTCATTCACACATGTGAAAATTTCATTTACTCTTTTGTGTTTGCATGCATGTATTCATTCCTTAGGGGTTGAGGAGGATGAGGCCATTATATGCTCACTTCAGCAAGATAGTCCAAGGGGTCATGTAGAAGTCTGGTCAAAGATGTTTCAGATAACGTGAAAGGAACTATTGTCACTATGATTAATTTCATATTTACTCAATAATAGGAGACCCTATAATATTGTGAATTAGTCTTCTTCACAGGCACTATTTCTCACACAATAACACACACACACACACACACACACACACACACACACACACACACAGAGGATAAAAAATTTTTTACCAAGTCTTTTTGTCCATTGATACTTGTACAACCATGTACCGATAAATATTAAGAATGCGTTTACACATATCTGTGTGCTCATCCAGAAGAGTTTTTATTTCATTTGCAGGTTCAAGGAGAAATATATTTGATGAGTTTATAATGAACACCTAAGACAAAAGAAATCATTAGCTATTCACAAAGGAATTTCAATGGCAAATTTCATATTCAAAGAGAAACAGACGCTGATCCCACTGTGAGTTAATTCTACCATGAGCTTAATAACTGAAACATAAACTCATTAAACCTTTTTATTTTTATGTTTATCTAGACAAATATAAACAGTAGGTACCTAAAGAAAATAAACGAAGTGCAAAAAAAGTATTTCTTTTTTTTTTTGAGACAGTCTTGCTTAGTCATCCAGGTTGGAGTGCAGTGATAGGACCTCAGCTCACTGCAGCCTCTGTCTCCTGGGTTCATGCGATTCTCCTGCCTCAGTCTTCCAAGTAGCTGAGATTACAGGCATGTGTGCCACCATGCCAAACCAATTTCTGTATTTTTACTAGAGGTGGGGTTTTGCTATAGTGGCCACGTTGGTCTCAAACTCCTGACCTTAAGTGA